CATCTGTGCAGCTGGTCATCTTTGAATGAGGAGCCTTATCTGCACTAGCTGCCTCTGCGGCGTGTGATTTGTGGTGTGATCACTGGGCAGAGGGTGCAGAGATTTAGGGGGACTGGGGGGTGGGGGAGGAAGGAGGCGGCTCACCCAGGCCCGAGATGCGCAGCAGCTGCTGGGCTCCCTGGCGCACGGACGGGGACAGGGTAAGGTCCACAAAAGCCTTCACTTGGGCCCGGTCCACCAGGCTCAGCCACGCCCCGTACTGGGGCTGCACAGGGTCTGAGGGCAGGAAGTCTGTGGAGAAGGGCGGACGGATGGGACCATGTGGCCCGAGGAGCCCAGACGGGTGTGGGGGGAAGGGGCCTGGGCAGGCTGCAGGCACAGACAACTCACCCAGGTCGCCCAGGGTGACGTGGCCCAGCACATACAGGCCCCCCTTCTTGAGCTGGTTAGTCAACCGCAGCAGAGGCAGGGCGCCGCGGGGGTTCCCCACCAGAAGCAGCAGCTGCGGCCGCCAGAACTTGACATGTTCCTTCCGGACGTCCAGCCGCAGCAGGTACTTCCTCACCTGGGGACGTGCGGGACATGGGACATCAACGCCAGCAAGGGGTGGAGGGAGCGGGGAGAGGTGCCCCCCCCCTCACCCCCACCCGCTTCTCTAAGTACGCCACACCTGGTGGAAAAGCAAGGCCTGGCTAACATAGCCCCAGCTGCTGGGGCCTCCACGAGCCGTGAGCAGGGCCGAGAGCAGCCCCATGAGGAGCAGGGAGCCCCCAGCCGCTCCGGGGCTGATGAGAAACATCATGAGCAGACAGGAGGCCACGCCCAGCAGACAGGTATGCCAGGAGAACAGGTTGAAGGTGGGGCTGGGGGAGCAAGAGGAAGAAGGAAACTCAGGGTCTGCCCCCCACAGGCAGCCCTCCTACCTCTCCCCCGAGCCCCCTTGGGGCCGTCTCCCATTCCTCCCTCTGGGCGCAAGGGCATCTTATTCTCTTACCGAAAGTTAGGAGCTGAGGCCCACTCCAGGCTCAGGCAGGACAGGTCCACGGCGGCATAGGCCACCAAGTAGAAGACAGTGACCACGGCGGCCAGCGTGTTCAGCTTCCCGGCCAGGAGCACCAGCTAGGTAAGGGCCAAGAGGATGGGCATGGCTGGCCAAGGCCACAAAATGCCAAGGTGGCCTTGCCTCTCCCCCCGCCGTCCCCCCGGCCCTCGGAAGCTGGAAGCATCGAGTGGAGTCCATGCTGACTCACGGTGACCATGGGGACTTTGAGGGCTGTGATCCCGAGGAAGCAGATCACCAGGCCTTTCTTCCAAGGGCCTCTGAGCAGGCTCCCACCTTGTGGTTAGCACGCGCGCACCACCCGAGCCTCACCATGTCCTAGCACCAAGTCCCTCCCCGCCGGAGAGCAGGTGCTCAGGGACGCTCAGGGAGCAGGTGGGGGGCAGGGACGCTCACCTGCACTAGGCCCCAGGAATAGAGCACGGCCCCCCAGGGATTCCCTCCTTGGGACACCACCTTGGCCGGTGCCAGGATCACCCCTGTGAACACAGTATGTGAAAGCCACATCAGTGGGGGGCCAGCAGGGTGCAGGAACTCCCTGGATGGGCAGGTGCGCCCGGAGTCCAGCACGAGGCAGGAGAGAACTCACCAAAGAGGTCATCCTGGGCCAGGGCATGCAGGATGCGCGAGGCGCCGATGAGGGAGCTCATGGACGCAGAGAGTGAGGTGGCGTAGACTCCGACCAGCACCAGTGGGGGCCACAGGCTGATGGCGCGGAAGAACCCATAGTCCTCCTGTAGCAGGGTCCTAGAGGGCGGCCAGGGCCACCGTTGTGCAAACAGGGCGGGGCTCAGGGAGAGGCACGCTCACAGCGCTATGTGGGGAGTGCTGACCCAGCCTCAACCTCAAGGATTACGGCAGTGGGTCACGTGTGTCCCGGAGGACTGCCTGGTGGCCAGTGGTCAGCAATTGGCTGCCTTGGGTTAGCTCTCGGGGTGGGTGGGGGTGGGATCATTCCCAACAGGATGTGCGCAGACCTGCATGCTTGTGAAAATGTATGGACGTGACTAGAAAGAAGTATATGCACCCACATGTGTGCACACACATGCATGCACATACATTCATACATGCACACACACAAGCACGCACACGCACATACACAAATGCACACATACATGTGTGCGCACACATACATGCACACATGGCAAGCACATGGCACACGCTGGCTCTCACCAGTTACAACAGCAGCTGCAGCTCTTACCCAAAGGCAGAAACTCTCCCCATTCTCCCTCTTCCCCCAAACCTGGGTCTCTGCCTCCTAGCCTGCGCCTCCCTTGGTGGCCCAGGTATGCCAACCTGACCTTTACTCTTCACGGGAGCACAAGGCCCATCGTTCTCCCAGCGAGCGGCTGGTGGTGTCAAACTGCCAACCTTGCGGTGAGCAGCCCAACACATAACCACGGCGCCACCATTACCCTCCAACCTTCACTCTTGATCCCAGCTCCCCCCCAACTGCCCCCCTCAAGAGTCTGGCCCACCCCCTCCCCAAGCACCTGTCACAGGTGATGCTGGAGAAGAAGAAGAGGAGGGCATAGATGAGGAAGGTGTAGGCAACCGCGATGATGGTGCCCAGGGGGATCGCCCGGCTGGGGTCCTTCAGCTCCCCTGAAGGGAGGGGGACAGGGACAGATCAGCTCTCCACACCACCCTCTCGCCCCTCCGAACCCGCAGGCTCAGCACAGGAGGGTGGCCACACCCCCCCCATGGGAGGCAGTGGGCAGGGGTCTCTCACCTGACATGTTGGCCCCTGCCATGATGCCCGTGCAGCCATTGAAGAGGACGGCAAAGACGCTGGCAAAGGTCATCATTGCCCCCGTGGTGTAGTCCTGCGCATAGCCAGCTGGACAACAGTGGTTCCCAGGAAGGCGTGGTCAGCATGCTTGCTTGGACACAGGCACCTTGCCCAAGCCACCCCTGTTTCTCCCACCACCCTCACCAAGGCCGCTGCCCGGATCCCTGGTCGCTGGCCCTAACTTGGCTGGACAACTGCTTCCCTGACCCCCAATGCCTCTGTTCCTGTCCCTCCCAGCTCCTATCTGAATCCCCTAACTCTTCTCACTCCCCAGCACAGGACTCCCTGCCCCGGCCTCCTGCAGGGATTCGTGTCCACCTGAGCCTCACTTGCACTTAGTTTGCAATTAAATTGCTTCCAGAATATGCATCTTATCTCTCCAACTCGGGTACAAGTTTTTGTCATCAGGCAAGGGCATGTTCCTGGCTAAGCACAAACCATTGTGCCAGACAGACTGGACTTCATTGGCCCTGCTCAGCCCAGGAGCCCTGGTGGTGTTCTGGTTAAATGTTGGGCTGTGATCTGAATGGTCAGCAGTTCAAAACCACCAGCAGCTCCGATGGAGAAAGACTGGGTTTTCTACTCCCATAAACAGGGGGTCAGTATGAATCAGCATTGACATGATTGAAGTGAATTTAGTTTTTTGGGTCTTTTGCTCTGAGGCCTGGGCATCTCACCCCCTACTTCCATTTGATGCCTGGTTCCCTCCACTGTTGGGTGGCGGGGTGTAGGGTCCAGCCTATACACCTGCCCTCCCTGAATCCCAAGAACCCCTGAGGCCCAGCGCCCAACTCACCAGCCAAGTTGGCCTTCAGGGTGCTGCTATTGAAGCCGGTGTAGTGGCCAACCTGGGGGGGCAGGGAGGAGCCGTTGGGGCCCGGCCGGGGAGTCAGGGTGATGTCCCTCGGCCCCACAGCCACAAAGCTGATCAGCACCGAGGCCAGAGAGCCAGAGACCAGCAGAAAGGTCAGGAAGGAGGCCCTGGCGTAGAGCCCGGCTCCCAAAGTGCAGACCCCGCCCACCAGGCCCAGCAGCAGAGAGCCATAGAGCACGCTCCAGCCGTAGCCCTGGGGTAGGACTCGAAACCCGCTGGGTCCGGTAGTATCTGCAAAGAGGAAGGGACAGCGTCAGAAGACCAGACGCCGAGGAAATGCCCACCCCAACCCTGTCCCAAAGCAGAAACAGGCCCTTTGTGG